CCTGATTTAAACGTTAATCACATCTTTATCTTTTTTTTTTTTTTTTGAGACTGAATCTCTCTATGTAGTCCTGGCTATTCTGGAACTCATTACGTAAACCAGATTGACTTCAAACTCACAGAGACCCGTCTGCCTCTGCCTCCCGAGTGCTGGGATTAAAATCTAGACTGGCTTTTGAACGGAAGCCTGGCTGTCGTGGCTCAGCCACATCTGCATGGAAAGCCATCCCAGCAGCTGTCTGAAGCGTCAGCCTCAGTGAAGAAAGAAATGACCTGTTGTGTGGGGGGCACAAAGCCTGACTTGAAGGGCTATTTGGAGGTTTTACATGAAATGAAGTGCCTGGTAGAGTCCTAGAGCACAGTGAGTGTGCAAGTCCACACTCTGCAGGCAGTCCCAACCCTAACTGCAGAGTAACTGTAAACACCACCAATTGTCTACCTCACCGACAATGAAATGAAACAAGCCAGGCATGGTAGCACTTGGGAGGCTGAGGCAGGAGCAGCACCGTGAGTTCAAGACTAGTCTGGGCTACTTAATTAGACCCTGTCTCAAACACACAAACAATCCAAAAGACCCCTGCTGTTAGGTGGGGCCTGGCAAAGCTGCTGGCCCTTTTCCTGTCCCTCCTGGCAGGAGTAGGCCCTTGGGAGTGTCCGGGGCACCGGGGCAGGCGTCTGAGCCGGCTGCTGATGTATCAGGTGAGCAAGGGCACCTCCTGAGAGCAGCAGGGGAAAGCTGAGTCAAGTGTCAGCTTTCCATCACTGTGACAAAATCTGACTGAGACAACTTTAAACAAGAAAGGTCCAGCCGGGCGGTGGTGGCGCAAACCTTTAATCCCAGCACTCTGGAGGCAGAGGCAGGTGGATCTCAGTGAGTTCGAGGCCAGCCTGGTTTACAGAGTAAGTTCCAAGACAGCCAGGACTACACAGAGAAATCCTGGAGGGAGAGAGGAGTAGGGGAGGTTTTATTTAGGATGACAGTTTTGGAGGTTCCAGCTGCAGTTAGCCGACCCCATTGCATTTGGGTCTATTGTGGCAGAGAGCTGCCCACCTGTGGGCATCCTAAATGAAACCTCCCCCTCCGCCCACTTCTCTCTCCCTCATGCCTCTCAAAGGCTCACCTCCAGTGACCCACTAGGTCCCACCTCCCGTTAGCTCCTCAGGCTGGATATCAAGCTTGGAACACATGAGCCTTTAGGGAACATTCGGAATCCATCCTATGCCAGCCATGTACCTCTATGCCTGCAAACCCAGCACTCAGGAGGAGGCTGAAGCTAGAGGAGTCTGAGTTCCAGGCTAACCTGGGCTACAGTGGGAGACCCTGTCTCAAAAAAAGAGAAGTGGTTGGATCTCTGTGGGTTCGAGGCCAGCCTGATCTACAGCAAGAGTTCCAGGATGGTCAGGGCTACACAGAGAAACCTATCTAGAAAAACAGAGAGAGAGAGAGAGAGAGAGAGAGAGAGAGAGAGAGAGAGAGAGAGAGAGAAAAGAGGCTGAGGATACAGCTCAGTTGGTAGAGCTTTTGCCGAGCATGCTCAGGCCTTGGGTGTGGTCCTAGCACATGGGGGGGGGGGGGGGTGTGGGCTGACACAGCAGAATCAGAGCTTCAAGGCCATGGGCTGAGGAGCTGACTGCCACACATGCAGGGGAACCTGAGTTCAGATACTTAGCAGTCACATAAAGAACTAGGCAGGGGCCAGTGAGTTGGCTCTAAAGGTGAAGGTGTTTGCTGCCAAGCTTGGCTCCCTGAGTTCAATCCTGGGATCCACGTAGTGGAAGGAGAGAACAGACTCCTGCAAGTTGCCCTCTGACCCCTGTATATGCATGATCTCCTCACTCACAAGATAAATAAATTAAAATACAATAAAAATTTAGAACTAGAGACTAAAGAGATGGTTGCACAGTTAAAATCACTTGCTGGCCTTGTAGACCCAGACTTGGTTCCCAGCATCCACATGGTGGCTCATAACCATCTGTAACTCCAGATTTGGGTAATCTAATGCACTCTTCTGTCTTCCATGGGCACTGTATGCAGGCAAAACACCCATACACATATATCTAAAAAAAAAAAAAAAAAACTTGAAATACTTTGGAATTAAAAATATATCTAGCCGGGCGGTGGTGGCGCACGCCTTTAATCCCAGCACTTGGGAGGCAGAGGCAGGCGGATCTCTGTGAGTTCGAGGCCAGCCTGGTCTACAAAGCGAGTCCTAGGAAAGGCGCAAAGCTACACAGAGAAACCCTGTCTCGAAAAACCAAAAAAAAAAAAAAATATATATATATGTATATATATATCTGAGGAGGGCTGGAGAGATGACTCGGGGATTAAGGGCACTGGCTGCTCTTCCAGAGGACCCTTGTTCAATTCCCAGCACCCACATGACAGCTCCCAACTGTCTGTAACTCCTGTTCCAGAGGATCTGATGCCCTCTTCTGGATTCTACAGGCACTGCACACACATGCTGCACAGATACGCATACAGGAAAAACAACACCCACACACATAAAATAAAGAATTAAAAAAAAAATCTGGGCATGCTAGTCTGACCTATAACCCTACTGATAGGGGTTACAGCATTACCAGTGAGGAAGGACCCTTGGGCTCACTGGTCAGTCAACCTCACCAGGCAGTGAGCTCCAGGTTTGGTGAGAGACCATGTGTCGAAAAACAGTAGAAGCTGGGTGTGTTGGCACATGCCTTTAATCCCAGCACTTGGGAGACAGAGGCAGGAGGATCTCTGTGAGTTCTAGGCCAGCTTGATCTACAGATCAAATTCCAGGACAGCCAGGGCTACACAGAGAAACCCCTTCTCAAGAAAAAAGAAAAAGAAACCACGGTGGAGAGATGGAGGAAGACAGACAGACAGACAGGCGTGCACATGTGTGCACACACACACAGGTGATCAAGGCCATCTGCAGCCACATAGTGAGTTCAAGACTAGCCTGGATCACATGAGCCACTATCTTAAAAAAGTAAGAAAGAGCTGGGCGGAGGTGGCGCACACCTTTAATCCTGGCACTCAGGAGGCAGAAACAGGCAGATCTCTGAGTTTGAGGCCAGCCTGGTCTACAGAGCGAGATCCAGGACAGCAGGGCTACAGAGAAACCCTGTCTCAAAAAACACCAGAGAGAGAGAAAGAGGGAGAGAGGGAGAGAGAGAGGGAAGGAAAAATCGAGAAAAGACGAGATCCAAGCGGGCGGGCAGTGTCCACACAGCAAGCCCAGCCTTTTGTAGCCTTGGCCTGAGGTGCTCGGGACAGTGTTCCTTGTGAAGAAAGGTCTCAGAGAATCCCGCCACCCGTTCGATCATCACCCATCTGCTGCACCTCTGACCAGGAGGTCATGGAGAAGAGTGGGACCTGGTGCCTGAGACAGTGTCATGCTTTTGGGTGGGATATCATGGTGATATGAGGACAGATCCTTAAGCCAAGTGGTCAGCCAGGAAGAAATGGAGCTGTTGTTTTTGGAAAAGCCACCCACACACCATTTCTGTTTGCCCAATACACGTGCACTCACATGACGCTGTCCCTCAGGTCCTGCTTCTCTAGCCTTGTGTATCAACTATAGACAGCCTGTGGTGTGCTAAACAGGTCCCAGGCCAAGGCGGTCCGCCCATTCACCACCTGCTGAGCTGGGCCTGTTTCTCTCAGGCAGTAATTCCCCTGGACCCTCACTCACTCTGGGTATCTCAGGTAGCTAGTAGGATCTGGTTACCTTGGCTGCTTACAGGGATCTGGAGGTCTTGGGACACGCCCCCCCCCCCCCCAAGCCAGAGATGAATGAGGGGAGATGAGAGCCTGTGCCGGTCCGTCCTGGCCCCACATGCAGAGAAGGAACTGGTGTGGAGAATGCAGATCCCTGGGAGCTCTGGAGGTTCCCATGAGTGTGGTGCCCACAGCTTCTCGGCTTTGGGCTTCAGTGTGCCCTGCCCTCACACCTGATGGGTGGTGCCCACACATGAACACACAGGACCCGCCCCCATCAGATGGTGACGGACTACTAAGAAGCCCAAAGCTGCTTTACCCTCAAACAGCTTGCCAGAGAAGATGAGGGGTCCACTCTCCTCATCTGCGGGCCAGAGGGCATTTACACCTTTGGAATAACAGCCATTGGGAATTAGGGTACCTGGCCATTTACAAGCTTATGTCACCCTCCTCAACCTCAGCAGCCTGGAAGGCTGCAGCCTCCCATGGTGTCTCTGCTGTCTGAGTCCCTTGCTGTGGCCAGAGTGGGGTCCTAGGAACAGACCTGGAGAGGAGGAACTTGGCCTGTGAGAGGCAGGTGGGGGGCTGGGGGACTGGTCTGGGTAGGTCACGTGGCTTGGGTCTTTCTCTTGCTTGCTTGACTGTCACTGTCTCTGAAGAGGAGTCTGCAGTCCCAGGAGAGAGCCCAGGCGTGCAGGAGGACGGGCAGTGCTGTGGAGCCGGGTGACCCGCCCAAGGCAGAGACTATTGTCACATCCCTAAGTCTCAAAGCAGATTCAGAAGAGCCTGTGGTTCTGACAGTCATGTGACGGCGGATTCATCCCGAAGCTGCAGTGACAGCCTCCACTGTCCTCGCCAACTTTAAACCCTCAGCCCAAACCTCTGCCTGTCAGCACAGGGCAAGTCAGCACCCCTGGAATCCACAGAGACTAGCACTCCTGTGTGGGGTCTGCCCCCCCCCCCAGTTTCCGACAGATACATTCCATCCCACGGTCACCCGGGATTGCTGTTTGTTGACCCCAAAGCCCCACCAAGCCCACTCCTCTCCCAGGCAAGGAGGCTGTAAGGGGCAGCTACATTGCCTGCCATGCTCACACTCTGGGGAAGACTTGGCCCACCTTCCCAGCAGAGCTGCCCTTGACCCTATGCTCCCTCCAGGTGAAGAAACTGGCCTCTGGAAGCTGCTGCCCAGGTCACACAGCCCTGGGGAGCTGAGCTCTGGGCTGCAGCTCCTCCTCCTGCCTGCCTCTTAGGCCGGGTAGCTGATGTCCAATTGCCGCCCTGTCCTGTATCCACAGACCTCTCCCAGAATTCCTCTCCTTCCTCCCTGCTGGACCAGCTGCAGATAGGCTGTGATGGGGCCTCAGGCGGCAGCCTCAACATGGAGTGCCGGGTGTGCGGGGACAAGGCCTCGGGCTTCCACTACGGGGTCCACGCATGTGAGGGGTGTAAGGTACGGACTGAGGAGCACAGGGTTCCGCCCGCCTCGGGAGGGCGGGTGGAGGCGGGCGGCGCTCAAAATACCTCTAGCAAAACTTTCCATTCCTTACAGCCCTGAGCTCTGGGTCATTCAGACACCTGCCTGCTGACCCAGCTACCCACTCGGTCTCTGTGGGTGGCCAGATTGGGCTCCAGAAGGCAGGCAGGAGAGTGACCTTGGGCTGAGTGTCTATTTGTATATTTGAAGTTGGTTTCCAGTGCCTCGTGCCTTTTTTTTTTTTCTTTTTTAGAGACAGGGTTTCTCTGTGTAGTTTTAGTGCCTGTCCTGGATCTCACTCTGTAGAACAGGCTGGCTTCAAACTCACAGAGATCCACCTGCCTCTGCCTCCTGAGTGCTGGGATTAAAATTGTGTGCCACTATACCTAGCCCTTAAATTTTTTTTTAAGGATACTTTTCCTTCCTTTTTAAAAACAAAAACAAAAACAAAACCCTGGGACTGGAGCGATGTCTTGGTGGGCACCGGCTGCTCTTGCAGAGCACTGGGGTTTGGTTCCCAGCACCCACGTGGTAGGTGTCTGTAACTCCAGTCTCAGGAGCTCTGGCCCCCGCCCCCCTTTCCGGCCTCCACGGGTACTGAACACGTGGCACACAGACTCACACGCAGGCAGGACACCCATACACAGGAATAAAAGTTAATCCATTCAGTGTCCTGTCCCCCCAGATCTCAGCCTTTTTTTGGGCCTTCCCTGCCGCTGGGCCCTCCACGGCAGCACGGGCCCCTCACGTCCCTGGTCCCCCAGGGTTTCTTCCGCCGGACAATCCGCATGAAGCTGGAGTACGAGAGGTGTGACCGGAGCTGTAAGATCCAGAAGAAGAACCGGAACAAGTGCCAGTACTGCCGCTTCCAGAAGTGCCTGGCGCTCGGCATGTCGCACAATGGTGAGAGGCCGGCCAGGCACCTCAGGGTGGCGGCACAGCCTAACCCGGGGCTCCCGTGTTGTCAGAGAGTGCCCAGCTCCTGCGCCTGGCACAGATGAGGGTGTGGACGCGGCTGCTGACTGCTGGTGTAGACGCCGGGTCTCAGAACCGCAGACCGTGAGGCCCGGGCGGTCACCGGCTCTCTGTGCCCCGGGCTCACCTGCTCCCCACCCTCGAGCCTGACAAAGCATGCGAAGCCGAGGCCAGGGCTTCCTCAGTCTGTCATTGCTGGGAGTGGGCAGGAGCCAGGAAGTGGCCATGGGTGGCAGCTGCCAGGACCCAGGTGGGAATTTCTTCGTGGTTAGACACTCCCAGGAGACTGAGCCGTCCTTTCCTCGGGCTTCCAAGAACGGGGTAGCCTCCTGCTTACACCCTGCGGTGGCTAGCCACTGGAGCACACACAGCATCTTCAGGCCATCTCTGGCTCCTCCTGAGTGTGGGTGCCAGTGGGTCTGAGGCTCATCTGCAGCTGCGCTGGTGCTGTTCCATCGCAGGATCACAGGGAGCCCTAGGAAGCCGCGGGCAAACTGAACCCTTCCTTCATGCTTTCCGACAGAAGCCAGGGCCAACTTCACTGTTCAGGCTGTAACTATGTGTGTGAGAGTGCGTGTGTGCGTGCGCACGTGTGCCAGTGTACATGCATGTGTGTGGAGGCCAGAGGTCATCTCAGGTACCATCCACCTCTTTTGTGAACCAGTCTTTCGTTAGCTGGGAGCTCCTGGAAACACCTGTTGGCCTCCTCATACCCAGCTCTTTTTCACATGAGATCTGTGGCCTCCGGTCCTCAGGCTTGCCACAGAAGGACTTTACCAACTGAGTTATCGCCCCAGCCCATGGCTCTGGGTTCTGGCTGCTTCTTGTGAATGCCCCTCATTAGTCTAGTAAGTTTAAGGACCTCCACTTTTCCTGACCCACAAAGACGGTGAAAGGACAAGTCACATGATAGGAAGGAGATGCATGGGGCTCAGATGTGGCCCTGGTCACCAAAGGCTGTCTTTCTGGCTGCCACGCCATGCCAGCCCCCAGCCAAGTCAGCAAAGGTTCTCAGGGAGTCGGGCCCCTGGGCTGCCTCAACACTGCTCCCTTGCTGACTCTGGGGCCTTTGAGGGTCCCAGGCCCCCAAAGGATGGTTCCTCTTCACCTGTATACCTGAGGAGAAGGGAAGGAAGGAGAGGTGCAGGCCCCTGCCTGCTAGCTCCTTCATGACTAGCCCTCAACCCCGGTACAGCCATCCGCTTCGGACGGATGCCAGAGGCCGAGAAGAGAAAGCTGGTAGCAGGGCTGACAGCCAGTGAGGGGTGCCAGCACAACCCACAGCTGGCCGACCTGAAGGCCTTCTCCAAGCACATCTACAACGCCTACCTGAAAAACTTCAACATGACCAAAAAGAAGGCCCGGAGCATCCTCACCGGCAAGTCCAGCCACAACGCAGTGAGTGCCACTGGCCAGCCTGGGCTCCGAGGTGGGGTTCAGGGGACACGAGGGCGGGCTCCCTCCCCTTCCCCAGGCCTGGCTTCTGATGGGGCTGGTTTTCAGCCCTTTGTCATCCACGACATCGAGACACTGTGGCAGGCGGAGAAGGGCCTGGTGTGGAAGCAGCTGGTGAACGGGCTGCCGCCCTACAAGGAGATCAGCGTGCACGTCTTCTACCGCTGCCAGTGCACCACGGTGGAGACGGTCCGGGAGCTCACCGAGTTCGCCAAGAGCATCCCCAGCTTCAGCAGCCTCTTCCTCAACGACCAGGTGACCCTCCTCAAGTACGGCGTGCACGAGGCCATCTTCGCCATGCTGGCCTCCATCGTCAACAAGGACGGGCTGCTGGTGGCCAATGGCAGCGGCTTCGTCACCCACGAGTTCCTGCGCAGCCTCCGCAAGCCCTTCAGTGACATCATTGAGCCCAAGTTTGAGTTTGCTGTCAAGTTCAACGCGCTGGAACTGGACGACAGTGACCTGGCGCTCTTCATTGCGGCCATCATTCTGTGTGGAGGTGAGGGGACCCAGCGACCTCCGACAGTGTAGCACAGAACACGTGTGCAGGACCAGCTGTTAAACAGACAGAGGTGCAGAGAAAGATGTTGACCTTGCCGGGATATAGCTCGGTGGTAGAGTGCTGGTCTGGCAGGCGGGAGGCCCTGAGTTCAATCCCCAGTCCTGGGGAGTGGGGGAGAGAAATACACCAGGATGTTAAAGGCTGTTCTTTATGGGTGGTAGAGACATTTCCTTATTACTTTTGCATTTTTCTAGTCCACTGTAACACACAGGTAAGCCTGCTCACCCACAAGGGCACGGAGCTCACTTCAGGCCAGATCCATCTAGTTTATAACTCATTTGCTCCTCACAGCAGCCTGGGCTAAGGACACTGAAGCCCAGAACCACAGAGACAGGATCTGAGTCTGGGTACCAGGTGTCCTAGCCAGGAAACACAGGCCTGCAGATCAGGAAAAACAACTGGTCAGAAAGAGAAGATGGGTGGAGAGCAGGGGTGGGGACTGGAGTGCCCGGGGGTGGGGCCGGTGACAGGGCAGGGCTTGGACCTGTCCTGGACAAAGAGATCCCTGAGTGGGATAGGAGGCTAGGAGGCTCCTCTGCCCTGCCACTCAAACCCCTTGTCCCCACAGACCGGCCAGGCCTCATGAATGTGCCACAGGTGGAGGCCATCCAGGACACCATTCTGCGGGCTCTGGAGGTCCACCTGCAGGTCAACCACCCTGACAGCCCGTACCTCTTCCCCAAGCTGCTGCAGAAGATGGCTGACCTGCGGCAGCTGGTCACTGAGCATGCCCAGATGATGCAGTGGCTAAAGAAGACAGAGAGCGAGACCTTGCTGCATCCCCTGCTCCAGGAGATCTACAAGGACATGTACTGAGGCCGCGGCCCGGGCCTCCCGCAGGCCCCAGCTGGGCCCATGGCGCTGTTCTGAGGACCAGCGCACAAGCACTGGGCACAACACTCCAGACTCCCACCCTCCCTGCCTTCTGCCCACCTCTCCCCAGCACTTCCTGTTCTCGCTGTTCCTCGGTACCCTGCCCTTCCACCTTGCCTTCTGTAGCATCTCCCTCCAGCCTGTCCCCCTGTCTGTCCAACTCATGTCAGTGAGACAGTTGGTATGCTGTCTCTCCATCAGCCCACCTTCCCGGGAGCAGTGGGGCCTGCACCTGCCCGGCCCTGCCTTGCCTCTGTTTCCCTCTTCAAAGACTTGAGCCATCCAAAGAAACACTAAGGTCTGAGCCCAGCTTTCTGAGAAGCTTGACTGGGGCTGAGTGCTGCCCTAGCCTGTGGTCACCTCACCATCACAGGGTTCTTCCTGCAGAAGAGAGTAGGCAAGGAATGTGGGCTGGGAGACAGATTTCTCTTCTAGGCTGTCTCCTCAGCCCAAGGCGCCCCGCCCCAACTCTGGCACCCTCCATTCTCCTTGCCAGTGTTCTAGGCCATTATCACTGATGCCCCTTGTGCTGCCCTGGGGATACCCCCTCCAGATGGGGTTCCACACCCCATTGAAGAGGAGGAGGGTAGAAGTTGGCCAGAAGGAACAGCACACTTAGTTCTGATGCCAGGACTCGGGTTCGGGTCCCGGGTTAGAGGTCAGACAACCCTCCATCAGTACCCCCACTGGCCTCACCCTGTAGCAGCATTCAGACTGGCAGAACCCTGCAGGAGAAACTGGACCATGGCTGCTCTTTCCTTTACCCCAGAGACGCTGGCACACCTGCCCCCGGCAACTGCCTCACCGTAACCAGGACACTGGCTCACCTCTTGGTCACCATAGGGCCCCGCCCTGCCCTCCCCAAGGTGGCTGGGAGACAGCTGTGGCCCTGTCCCTAGGGTTGGTGACCTGTGAGTAGGCAGAGGTGTCCTGCCACGTTGCCCCTGCCAGCTCACAGGCGGAGTTGCCTGGGCTTCTCCGACCTGTCCCCTCTCACATTCACACACCCCAGCAGCTCTATGGCCTTCTCTTTTTTGCCTGGCTGGTCACCAGCTCCCAGCTGCAGCCTCAAGTGGCCTGAGGCTTGCTGGGTGCTCCCATCCTCGGCCCAGCCCCCTCCAGGATCTCCTGAGACCAAGAGCTGAGCCCAGCCTAGCAGAGCCAAGGCCCATCCTGCCCAGGCCCACAGGGAGTCAGCAGCCAGGCTCTCAGAGTAAAGCATTGGAAGCCTGGGCTTCAAGCCCTGATGGCCCAGATCCATCTGGTCCTTTGTCCCCAGGGCCTTAACTGTTAGACTACAGCTCTGGAGGGAAGTGACTTGGAGAGGGACAGCCCAATGAATGTTCCTGCCAATGCAGTGACCTTCTGTTGCCAGATTCTCCCTGCTAGCACGTACCCTGTCCCCACCCCCACTGATCAGGTCTTGGGGTGTTCCCTGTGGGGCCCAGGCTGTGAACGGAGCTGCATTCCCTGACCCACCCTGTCCCTCACCCCCACCCAGGTCTGGTGCTGAGGATGCAGCTCCTCTCAGGGTCTGAAGTCTCCAAAACTGAAATGTATATTTTTGCTAGGAGCCCCAGCTTCCTGTGTTTTTAATATAAATAGTGTATACAGACTGACAGAACTTTAAATAAATGGGAATTAAGTATTTAAGAGTTGGCTGGAAGCCCGCTGAGTTCTTCATGATACTCTGAGGACTAAGGGGCACCTCTTCCACATCCAGGGCTGGCAGCATGGGGGTCAAAGGGCCTTCTGGTGCTGGCCTGGGGTCTGTTCTGGTCTTTCTGCTCTCCCTGTTCACCTCTCACTACGTGGGTACCATCGATCCTGCCGAGAGTCGGGTCTGAGGGGGGAAGAATCCACATGTTCTGAAGGAGCAGGAACATGGGGGCTCCTGGGGAAGGAAGGACCCCTAGAGGCTGTGAGGCCTGGACCTTGAGTGGCATGAGGGACTTAAATCAATTGGCCATGTCCCAAAAGACCAAGACATCCCATCATTTCCTATGGAACAAGAAGGCCATCAAGTTCTACAGTGCGAGGTATGGTCAGGGTGTGTGTTACAGGACAGCTTCCTGGAGTCGGTTCTCGCCTCCCACCGTGTGGGTCCTGGGGATTGGACTTAGGTTGTAAGCCTTGCTCCCTTTTTTAAATAATTATTTTTAACCTTTATTTTATGTGTATAGTCTTAGGGTTTTATTGCTGTGAAGAGACACCATGACCATGGCAACTCTTATAAAGGAAAACATTTAATTGGGGCTCACTAAAAACTACACAGAGACTTAGTATTAAGATGAAAGCTCAGCCTATAGCTTGGGCTTGTCCCACTAGCTCTTTTTTTGTTTGTTTGTTTGGTTTTTGAGACAGGGTTTCTCTGTGTAACTTTGGTGCCTTTCCTGGATCTCACTCTGTAGCCCAGGCTGGCCTCGAACTCACAGAGATCCGCCTGGCTCTGCCTCCCGAATGCTGGGATTAAAGGTGTGAGCCGCCACCACCCGGCTCCCACTAGCTCTTATAACTTAAATTAACCCATTTATATCAATCTACGTTTTGCCTCATGGCTTTTTACCCCTCTCCCACCTTGCACATCCTGTTTCCTCTCCATGTCCTTGGCATCTCTCCCCATTCTTCTTCCCAGAGCCCTCTCTGTCTGGAAGTCCTGCCTGTACCTCTTGCCTAGCTACTGGCCATTGATCTTTTTATTAAACCAATCACAGTGACATATCTTTACACAAATAATCAAATATCTCACAGCAGTCCAGCTCTGTCCATCAGAGTGAGTGCTGCCTTACTCCAGTGCGAATAAAGTCTTAGAAATCAGCTTAGAGGCCTTGGCCCTTCCCTTCCCTTCCCATCCATCTTGGCACACAATGCAGAAGATCCAAGGCCAAGGGCCCAGAAGCACCTTGACCTAGGTCACATAAGGTCTCCTGGCCCCAGGCCTTCCCTGCTGGATGCTCACATGGAGCTGCACGTGCCAAGCATCCTTCAGTCATGAGCTCCCTGCGTCGTCTTGCAGCCCCCGAGCAGATCACAGGTTCCCAGATGAAAACAACTTACACAACAGTGTTTACCTCAGTGGAAAGTCCCGGACCGCCTCCCACAGCCTCCAGGGCCTCCAAGGAGGAGGCCCATCAGGGACCAGTGTCCCTGTACCCGGCTAGGCTGCTTAGCACCTCCCCCAGGGAAGGAACAGGCGCCGTAAGGCCAACATGCCACCAAGCAGGACCCCACCCAGGACACTGTCATGAGAATGGGTTCACTGAGACAGGGAACCTGTCGGAAATTCTGACGAGGGTCACCCTGTCCTTTGCTCTTTTCCTGTTGTTGCTTCTGGATGGGGCCCAAGGGGTGCTTGCCAGCCTGAGTGGAGGAGCAGCATCTACCCTGAGGTCCTTCTCCAGGGCTTCAGAAACCCAGGCTCTCATTAACTCCCATGCCATGGATGCTTCAACAGGTATGATGGGGGAAGAAAGACATGGGCTCCTGACTGGAAAGATGGCTCCGAGGTTAAGAGCACTGGCTGCTCTTCCAGAGGTCCTGAGTTCAATTCCCAGCACCCACATGGTGACGCACAACCATCTATAACAAGATTTGATGCCCTCTTCCGGTATGTAGGCAGAACACTATACATAATATAATAAATAAATAAATAAATCTTTTTTAAAAAAGACAGGCTCAGGGTCACTCCTCCTTCAGCCCAGATCAAGTGACCTTTCTGGCTCTAACTGGCAGACTAGCTCCCCAACCTAGAGTGTCCTGATTGAGGGGAGCTTAGACAAGAGCCACCCCACTTCCACATCTGACTGTGGCCTTGGCACTGTGGCACTGATAATATTCTATTTACTTGTGACCTGTATAGCAAACTGACTTCATAGATAAGAACAAACCGGGCCACAGTGACCTGGATTGAAGTCCCCAGGGCTTCCTGGAGTGGCCCAGCATGAACACCACACTTTACCTCTACCATGCATTCTATCCCTCCTACAGTGGAGGCTCTCACCAGGCCTCAGTTGTCCATGCCCTCAGTCCTGGGTCCCAAGCCCTCATGACCTAGGTCACCTTGCTTTCCAAAATCCTTGGAGTCTTCCAGTACTTACCGAAAGACCCCACAGGCTTCCTGCCCGCCCACATCCCTGGAGCCCCGCACTCTTTCCTTCAGGCCTGAGATGGGGGCAGCGGCTGGCTGAGACTCGTTCCCTTTCCAGGTCATGTGGGATGAAGTTCCCACCTGGACATCCCTGCCCACATCCCATCAGGACTGCAGCTGGAATGGACACCATAGCCTGGGAGCAGCAGCTGTCGCAGGGAGAATGACCCCTGTCCCCAGCAACCACAGAGGTGTGGGCCTGGATCTCAGAGAAGCACTGGGAAGGGGTGACATTATTTCGGGTCCAATCTGGCTGTTGAAAGCTGAATCACTTGAAGAATTTGAGTGCATCTGTGAAAGAAGGACTTCTCGGCACAGAGGAGACTGAGCCCAGAGAGGAAGGAACAAGCCAAGGCTACCCAGCGGATGGAGGGCTAGCTCAGGGTCTGTTCACTTGCCTGCCTTCTCTCCCATTTTTGCGTCAGGGCTGCTAGTTCACTAGGCTGTCTGTCAGACGTTCACATTCTAGCAGAGATCCATCTGTCACTACCCGGAAGCCGCCAGTTCTCCCAGGAGAACTGAGGTTTGGGCAGAGGAGGGGTGACCGTAGAGACTGAGATCTGTGGGTTTTCTAAGCTGGAAGAGAAGCAGACTGGGAGTAAGAGGCCAAACACTCCAAAGGAGGTTTGTTCCCTGGGGCTGCCCTCCTGCACGGGCTCAGGAAGCTCAGGAAGTTGGCGGGGCAGACTAAGTGTGGGCTGAAGTCAGGTGACAGGGCAGATAACACACTGGCCCTCTGGGATGCGGAGACCTGGGGGACTGGGGGAGCTCAGAAGCATTGAATGCCATCTGGGCTGTATCGGTGCTATTTTGGGAGAGTGCCTGAGCCACCCTGTGGCCACAGTGGAGGGAGTGCAGTCAGGATTCAGTATTGGGCATCTTGCCCAACCACACCCACGCCCACTCCCTAAGGTACCTGTCTCATGGCAGAAGCATTGCCCCCTGGATGCCCTCAAGTCATCATGGCACCAGGGCCAGCAGCTGGCAGGGGAGGTCAGAGGCATGCAGGGTGCTGGCCTTCAGGCCCCTGATTGTCCCCAAGGCTACCTGAGCCTCACCTGCAACCCTGGGCTTACCTGTGAACTGCAATGGCACATGGTCAGTGGCTGAGGAAGAGCAAGTGGGGACCGGGGTGGGACTCCCAGGGGAACACTGAAGGGAAAGGGGGGCTTCTGGGGGGAGAAAACAGGGGTGCTATAGCAGAGGGAGGTTAAAGTGGGGGTCACCAGGCACTGGCATCCCAGTTGGAAGGCTCTGGAGGGCCTGTCAAGACCAGCTCTGGAAGACTGGCATGAGAACCTGTGGTGTGAGGAGGGCTTTGGACTGTCATCGCTGTGTGAGGTGAGGGCCCTTATTCTTCTCCAGCTATGGAAGAAGAAACCGAGGCACAGGCTGTGTAACTTTAGGGAGCAAGTGGGACACAACTCCAGTATTCAGGTCTGAGCTGGCACCAGGAGGGACAGGGAGGAAAAGAATTCAGCAGGAAGAGGAGGCCTGGGAGACCAAATAACTGAGGTGAAGGAACACTTAAGAAACCTATGTGAGGCCGGGCAGTGGTGGTGCACACGCCTTTAATCCCAGCACTCGGGGAGGCAGAGGCAGGTGGATCTCTGTGAGTTTGAGACCAGCCTGGTCTACAGAGCGAGATCCAGGACAGCCAGGGCTACACAGAGAAACCCTGACTCAAAAGCAAAAAAAGGAAAAGAAAACAGAAACCTATATGGCTCAGTGGTTAAGAGCACTGACTACTCCTCCAGAGGACCCGGGTTCAATTCCCAAAATCCACATGGTGGCTCACAACCATCTGTAACTCTAGTACCAGGGATCCCAACACCTTCTTCTGGCCTCTGCGGGCACCAGGCAAACAAGTGGTACACAGATATATATATGCAGACAAAACACATGTAAAATTAAAACTAGATCTTCAAAAGAGTGAAAAAAAAACACAACACAACACGTGTGCTTCAGGGCTGGGGACGTGGCTGGCAGAGTGCTTGCCGAGCTGGCACCAGGCTCTGGGTTCCATCCCTGTGACCACACACACCCAGTGTGATGACACAGTGTTGTAATCCCAGCAGTCAGGTGGAGAAGCAGCAAGAGCAGAAGTTCAATGTCATCCTTCGCTGTATAGCAAGTTTGGGGCCAGCCTGAGCGCCATGGAACCCTGTCTCAAAAGATTAAAACTGAAGGAGGAGGAGGAGGAGGAGGAGGAGGAGGAGGAGGAGGAGGAGGAGAGGTGGAGGAGGAGGAGGAGGAGGAGAGGTGGAGGAGCACACACCTTGAATCCAGCGCTTAAGAAGCAGAAGCAGGTAGAGTTCGAGGCCAGCCTGATCTACATAGCAAGTTCCAGCCAGAGCTACATAGTGAAAACCTGTCTCAAAACAAACAAAAAAGTCACCGAAAGACTCCAGTACAGGTGTTGACATGGCCAGCGTCACGTAGGGGCCAGGAAAGGGAAGCTGGAGGGTTCCCATGGGGCCACCCCGTGGAGCCATCCTGGCGGTAG